ATGTTTATGTAACTACAAATAGTATTCTACTGAAAAAGCATATCAGAGCTTGTCTTTTTTTATTGATATTGCAAATAATATTTGCAGAATTTGGGAATGAAAAGCTTCTAAAGTTCTGAGCAACTTCATAGCAGACATAGCCCTATGTTTTTCTCCTTCCTTGTAATAATGCTGCAATTTTTGAGAAAATGTGCCATAGTGAGTGCTAAATCAGTCTTAATCATTCAAAGGGAGATTATTTACTTGTTATTGCTTAATAGACACAGAGGCTCAAACTCATCATTTCACTGCCTTCTTGACTGACAGCATCCCTGCTTGCACTCCTTCCATGATGGCTGGAGCAGAAGCCAGCTAAGCCAATAGCTGGCTGAAGCAGCTACAATTATCCTAGGATTTTATGAGGAGAACAAAGAAGGATGTAACTCCATCCTCTGCAATAAAAATAGTTATATAAAAAAAAGTATTTCTCCAGTGTTGTACTCCATTCAAGACATACCATGGTTTTAATAGCAGAATGAAACCCAAATGGCTTTAAAATTATTTTACCATTTCTGGAAATGCAGATGTTGCCTTAGTTCTCCTCAGAAACATATTAGTGACATCAACCTCCAAGCAAGCTCTCACAGGTTCTTAACAGCCTATGATTTCCTTCTTCATGTTTGCTTACCACAGGCTGATGGTAACACAGATCACTGAATATGTTTGCTTCTGTAAATGTTTCAAAATTTGATTAAATGCTGGCTGTAGATTTTGGAGGACAGGACAGCCTACATCTTGGTTCTGAATAACATTTTCACCATATTCTTTCACATTAATATATGATTTAATAACACATCTGAACTCACATTTTTAGGTCTATTACGGTCTTGTTTTCTACTTGTTACAAAACAAACATAAACCCCTAGAAATTTGAATTTGAAATGTGTGAGTCATTTTGAACATTATCTTATTGACTGAAGTAAAAAGAATAATTTTCTATTCTCCTTCTTGAAGTAGAACAATAAGTGTTTATGATCTTTAAAATGTAGCCATGCTGGTATTACAAATAAGGAAGCCAGTGGAAAGAATCAAACACCAAAACAGCTTTTACTTAAAAAGTCAATTTATGGAAAAGAATTTGTTTTTTGAGGAAAACTAATGAATTGTTGAAATGTCTACTTCCAGGGTTTATAGAATAAAAGAAAAATCTCTAAATCCCTGTGGTAAAATTGCTTGTAAAAATAGAAAGAAAAAAATAAAAGGATCATTTGATAGACAAGTGGTTGGTACCTTTTAAACGTGCAGAGAATTTGGGTTCCAGTTCTTTCTCCACAAAATGTCTAGAGATTAAGTACTGATAAAAGCAGGAACTGCAGGTGTGAGGATTCCCTTTTTTCTGACTCAATTTAGTTGTTTCTCTAGATGACTTTGTAAAGCTTTCTTTGAAGTCCCTTGAGAGGCTGTGCTTAAATACAAAAATTAGACTTGGCACTGAGGGCAAGTTAACATTCTGTGTCCCCTTTGCTTGTCTTTTCTTCATGTTGTTTTTTTAAAAACTGAAAGAGCAAACCTATAGGCTTAATAGCCATAATGTCCATAAAAGTGCTTTGGATGCAAGTTTCTTAAATGCATATTATATGTCATATGAGCATTCTTTTATTGGATTTCCTCTCAGTAGCAGAAAAAGAAGGACAGCCACTAATTATTTTTCCAGCAGCTGAAATAACTCAACATTTTTGTTGGTTAAATTTGATTCTCCCCCACCTGCAGACATATTTATTTTCCCTAAATATACATGATAAGGGGTGTATGTCAAGTCAGATGTTATGACTATACATGTATGTAAGAATATACCAAGCATGCAGACTTAAATAAAAGATAGCACCTCCGCAAAAGCATAGAAATTCACCAGCATTTTACACCTCTCAACATTCAGGACAATAGATGGCTTCTATCTTTTCTCTGTGGTTTTCCCTTAGTTCCAAAGCAGGACCAACTTGCTGTGAAATGGGTAGTAACATATGCACTGGATTCTAACAGAATGTGACTATCTCACTAGCCCTAAGTGACCTTTTAAACTCCCACCTTGCACATGTATTCAGAAGAGGTTCAGACGAGATCTCAAGGACTGGTAAAAATGTTAGCAGTGGCCTTCTGGCACTTGGGTTCTAAGCCAAATGGACTTGAACTCATTTAGGAAATAGTGGGATGCTATTAGAAACCTTATCTTAAAGGAGACAGAATCAGAGCTACAAAAAGTGAAGAGAGAGAAAAATGAAACAACAGACTAAGGGGGAAAGAAAGCTAATGAAAAAGCAGAGTTGAAATAACCTTAAATCTCACAGCCTTAAAGAAAGTTAATATAGCATTACATAAAGCAGACTTTTGGACAAAAGAAGGAAATTGGTATTTCTGGTTGTCATGTGAGACCCAGTCATAAACACCCAACAGATTCTGTTCACTTTTCTAATCAAAATAAAGAAAGTTTGTATAGACAGAAAAGGCACCGTGGTTTGCTGCTGAGGGACGAAGAGGCCAGAGCATGTAATGAACTCACTGTTTAGCAAGTTTAGTCCTATTATAAATTACACACATTTGGAGAGATGAAATGCATTGCACATTTCTACACATTATTTACATGGTGGGAATAGACAGCAAGACATCCCCCCACTCCCACTATCAAAAAGTAATGTACTGCAACAGTATCAGAGATATTAAAAGAAAAATAGATCCAAAGACTGTTGATGTTGATTGAACTGGAAAACAGGTCTCAAAATGTAAAATCTTATTATGCTTACCATGAAGACCAGTTCAATGCTCTGAGTCATCATGACTCTAGAGCAATTCTTTTAACATTTCTGACAATGGTGTTTCCTCTCTGAAAGAGCAGAACAGGAGAAAATCAACTATATTTAGTTTCTGACCTGAGAACATGTGGGACAAAGAGAAGGTGCATCTCATAGAGTCTCTTCTGTGGTTTGTTCCCAGAAAGGCCTCAGCTGGAGGGGTCAGTCTTAGTGTGGCAGTGGTTCCCACCCTGACCAGCTATTCCTACAGGAATGTATGAAGCTCCTTTCAAACCTCAGCATACCGCTGCAAGAGGATAAAGACAGATCCCTTTATCTAAGAGTGGAGCTGAAAGTTTCATCTGTGATCTCCAGGACTTCCCTAAACACAGCTTTTTATAAACTTAGCCATTAGAAAATCCTTTGTATGCTGTTAGTTTAAATAAAACAGCAAGATTCCAATCCTAAAAATGCTGAACTCAAAAAGGCTGAATGCTAACTTGCCCAGCTCGTAACAACAACCAGCTAGTTCTGATCAGCGAATGACTCCTTGGCTCCCCTCTTAATGCCTAATTTTGAGGGAGGGGAAGGAACCGCATTGCCGAAACCACACCAGAAATTCTTTGCACTTAGAGGCAGACACAAGGGCTGCAGCAAATAAGACAGCTTGATGGAGTGCTACAGTGAAACAAGTACACAAAACTAAGAAATACTCAAGCAGACCAAGTACTTTGGCCCTGTGAGTCCTGACAAACAAAACAGTCAAAACACATCTCCACCCTCAGGAAAGAGTAAAGGAGCTCTCAGTTTCACAAGTGCCACTTTCCCACTGGCAGAGGAATGCATGTGAGATCCTGCCAGCCTGGCCCTGGGGGTGAGTATTGCTACTTGAGTTCCTGCTCCTTTAGCAGTCTGATCCCCAACATTGCATCCTGCCTAGTGCCTCCATAAAAACAGTGAGCTCCTTTCAGTGTACCACTGCTGCTAAATATTTAAGCTGTCATACACAACAAGCTTGTTCCACCAATCGAACTGAAACAGACGCTTGGCCCACAGAGCTAGAGGCTAGATGGCCATTTAAAGAAAAGTATGCATAATTAAATTCTGTCTCATTTTATGCCTTATCCTCCCTCTCCCCTTTTATCTCCAGCTACCATTAACAGGCTCCTTTTCATTCTCCCCTTCTTATCCTTTTTCCTTCTTTTCCTTTCATCCTTGTTTATGTCTTTTTCATTTTCCCCTACTTAAATATTTTTTTCCAAATCCTTTTGATCATCTGCCTCCTTAGCTCCCCAGTTCTTTACCCAGCTGTGTTCGTGGGCTTTTCCATTTTATATCAGCTTCTCCCTCTCTTCTTTCTTACTACATTACTATTTCTTCAAATGAATTAAACCTTATTCCAGCAAGCCCAGGACCTCATTTCGGCATTGTCTGGAACAAATGTTAGTCACTCTTCCCTAATGAGCAGATTTGGATGGAAACAAAGCATATGGCTAGAAGGAACAGTGTGAAAATGGGGTGATAAAATCAGTGGTATGAAAATGAATTTAATTACATTATTCTTATCATTGTATCATCCAAATGCTCATTTGCTTTGACAATGATTTCTGTTCAGCATGTGTGACATTTTAGCCATATAGTTAATGTGTAGCATTGTCTCTCATCTGTTATTAAAAAGCAGTGAAAGGTTTGTCTAAATGAAATCAGATCTTCATTCGAACAGCAGGAATATAATCTTCAGAGCAAATGATCTTGGCAAGAGTGTCTGTGCAGGTCATGTATACAAATAGCTATTTTAATTATTCCCATATAAATATGCTTGCTTTCTGTAGCTGTACATAAACACATACACCTAGACTGGAATATGGGGTAAGTTAACCAGTTAAAAATTAACCTCATTTTTTCATTAAATTGGTGCAAATAGATTAATCTGTTCACTTTCACATGCTTTCAGGCAAATTGCCTCTGCTTTGAGCCCTCTTATAGTTTCTCAATCTCCTAGTTTGAAACTAACACTGTTGAACTAAAGATTTTTTTTTGTCTAGCAGTCTAGCATTCTCTTTTTCTAATTAAAAAAGTGATAGTCTTCCAGTCTTCTTTACTGCAGCATCTGCACATTCCCAAGCCCTCCAGTCATGCACTGAGTGATTTGCAGATCCAATTTATACCCTTCAAATTCCATATGTCAGAAATATCTGGAATTTAAGTTGAGAAAATAAATGCTTTTGAGTTTACCTTATGAGATGCTCTGAAACCCATGGATGCTTTGGGTCTTCCTCCTGATTTGAACTGATCTCTCCTCTAAATTGGGGGATTTGTTATTTGTAATTGGGACTGGCAAGTTGCCTCTTTCCTTCCTGGCTCTCCTTATGCAACAATGTCCTACTCTCTTCTACACAGTACCACATTCACATCTCTCTGTTCAGCGATCATGAAAACATCACCACTCACACCAATCTCTCAGAACCAGAAGTCCTGTGTCAAGTAAAATTATTGGTCAGAACTAGTGTTTCTTAAAACTTACATTTTTTCCTCGAGAAGCATTAAATGTCTTTTTCAAACAAATCAGCTACTGAGGATGACATAACACAAACTCTAAGAATACCTCAGTAAACAGTACAAAGAAGACCTCTTAAGTTGGTAAAGCTACTACTCACTTCATTGTAACTTCTGAAAAAAAACCCCATTTTCCCACAATTTGAAGCATTTGAAAATGTTCTAATGCTCTATACATTAAAACTTCACTTTTAATGTTGGATCAGTCTTCTGCAAACTCTTTTATTTATGTATGAGTAATATCCATAACATTAATTACTTGAAGTTTTTGAAATAGTTTGCATTTTATAGACTGTAATTCACTATAAAACAAGTACTACACATACACATGAAAGCACTGATATTTCTTTTCTTTCTGCACAGAATGAAAATAATGCCACTGATATATTTTCTGATTTCTCTCACCTGAAGAACTCAGTGAATTCAAAAAGGTGTCATCAATTGAGAGCAACAATCACATAACATGCATATACATAATGAAAGCTTTCTACACCTTCCATTGTGTCTTGTAGACTGCCCTCCTCCACTAATATTTCTCAAATGGGCTGGACAGCAAGGACCAAGAGGTATAAGCAGACTGTTCTTATTCCAAATGTCTTTTTTGTGTTAGCTACTGGTAAGTTCCACTTTTCTGTGTCAATCACAATTGTTTTATCTCTTTCTGAGTCCCTTTATTCTGGGTCTCGAATTCCTTCATCCCTTCATGGCATCCCATTTCATTAGTGCTTCTGTTACATGCTGAAGTTTTTCTTAACTGCACCTTTCCTTTCTTTCTTTGCTGCTCTTCCACTCCTTTCCTTCCCCGACTTTTGTTTCTCCTAAAGTCTCTGCTTTGAAACTGAATCACAGAGGAGAATTAAAAAAAAAAATAAATAAAAAAAGACAAAAGCTGTTCTCAAAGGCATCAGGAGCAGCCCAGAAATATTTGCTTCTCAGTAAAACCTAAAATGTTCAGTGACTACAAGAAACAACATTTTTACTTACATTTATCTAAGACAGATGCAGCTAATACAGCTGGTGCTCTGTTATTAGTGAAGAAAGTCTTGTGGCCAAGTGAGCTGAAACAGATTAAAGAACCTGCAGCACATTTATGTCAAAATGGTAGGTCAAAATATAACTTATGATGACTGAAGATTTAAGCACTAATTTTGAAGAAAGCAAGTGCCTGTAAGTGGGCAAAAATACTCCTAAGTTTTGAGAGGAGAAATAATATGTAATTCTTGGTTCTTTCTTTTTTGTGATGTGCAGACTGACAGCTTCCTCACTTAATCGTGCCAGGCACTATGAGTGTTACAAATATGTGACATTGTTTACCTTGCCTTCTTGTACAATTGTTATTTTTAATATTAGCAGAAATATTGGCATGCCATGGCAGTTTGAGTAATTTAGTAAGTCATTCATCTTCACAATTTCATTGCCTCCCAACTCCTGTCAGATTTAATTTCTAATTAAAATTTATTATTTTGCCAGTGCACTTAGTGACTGTTAGCGGAGCCAAACACGCGAAGTTCAAAACTGGACATAGAAAAAGGCATGAACAAAATAGGCTATTTCCTTTTGGTGTCTTTAACATCTACCTCTGTGCTATCTTGTAAGAGTATCTTCAGACACACCCTTAAGGCTAAATGGACTGTAAAGACCACCCATGCTGAATAACCTCACAACAAATTTCAGACTGTCATTCCCCAAACAGGTGACTAATGCAAAAAGTTTCCAGATCATCTCAGCTAACAGAAAACATAATCCATAGCAGGAATACTGCCCACTCTACATGGATCCAAGTCTCCCCAGACATCCTCTTTGGTTCCAGGTTTACACAAGCTGTCTTTGTATCATTATGCAAAGCCACCAGCTGCGTCAGTCCTACCAGGGAGATGACCTGCACTTTGTCAAACTAGATGTCCATGGGTTGGGGAATGGCCTTAGGACAGAGCCATGCCTATTGCTCCATATTCACATGCTGACATTGTACAAGCACTGCACGCTGGTTACCTACTTCAGGCAGCTCCTCAGTCACCAAAATGCGGCAGCTCCTGTGAGTCATGATGGGGAACTGGCAGGGCTCAGGAGCTTTTTGTTTTCTCTGTATGAAGAGAACAAACAGGCCTCACTCTGGCATTTCACCATCATCTTTGCTTCATTCTGCACAGCTGCATATCAAAATCAACATGGACAACAGGGAGCTGGGACAAGGATAGGATGGTGCTTAGCATCCTGAAGTGCAGCCTGAGTGCTGAGGGAGCTGCACTGCTACTACTGGCTTCACTGGGAGCAGGACTGCTGTTCAAATAGGAGCAGCACTACTGGTGAAAACATTAAACAAATCAGGCATAGGCTTGTCCTTCTACTAGTGTGATCATGAAAATAAAAATAATTTGATTTCTTCTTTTGGGTTTTTCCCCAGTTACTCTGTTTCATAAGCTGTGTATCCCTGGTTTTGAAGCATTTCAGAGATGTAAAGCTGTTATTTCCAGTAACAGAACCAGTTACATCCCCTAATAATATGGATTATTCCAAAGCAGAAAGAATTAACTCTAATCTAGGAAACTTTTATGTTGTATTTGCAATGCTTCTGATCACAAAGGTTATTGTACTTAATTCATTAAATTATATTCGGATGAGCTTTGTCAATTCATTGTTTTCACCTGAATTTTTGAATTTGGCAGAGGTATAGACCTGATGTTACAGAATTGTTTTAATCTACTAATTCCCATTAGTATAGGTGTAAGGGTAAAAAAACCCCAGATCTTCCACAATGCAGCTTTTCTGTACATATAATTCCCGTTAACTTTAATCTAAGTTCTGCACAATAAGCAACAGCAGGATCAACACTCATTTTGAAAAACAAAGTAATATGTAATGATTCGCCACATCTGCAAAGCCTTCCTGCTTTTATTTTGGCAATCATTCTTCTCATCAGAATGGTTATTTAAACTTGTGAGAAGAATCCATTTCATCATTATGTTTTAGCACATACATTTATATCCATCATAATTCTTAATTTAGACTTAATAAAATAATTTATCAGTATAATGTAAAATATTAAGTAATTGATTTTTAGCACAATAGTGCATGAAGCAGGAGAATCAATAGCATCCATGGCCACAACAAATTTCAAATTATCATTCCCAATGCTTTAGACGAATCAATGGGTAGTTGATTTGCTACTAATTTTATTATGTGTAAAATGTTAAAAAAATTCACTGCATGTAAATAAAGTCATTCTTTGTCTGACCATATTTCTGCTCTTATTCTTTCCTGTGTTTGCTCCCCCCTTTGTCTCCTCAGAGCTATACTATTTAAATAAGCTTCCATTATTTTCAGTGGAATGGCTTGCTAAAGGGAAATATTTGTGTCCCTTCACTGGACATCTGCTGTTGGTATGAAAGCAATCAAGAGGAAGAAATGATGGTATGAAGCACATTTAACTTTCACGCCTCTTCATCATTCTGCACAAGCAAACACCAACAAGAATTCAATCATAAGTACTTCAAAATATATTCCTCCCCTTTCTAAAAAAGCAGATATTAAAAAAAGGAAAATAAAGAATAAGAATAAATTACTAAATAACAATAGATTTTGCATGTGAACCTTCCAACTTTTTAGTACCTCTCCTGATACACTATCAACATTAAAAAAAATTATTCAAATACTTACAAATATGAATTACATTCTACAAATTACTAAGACAAACTGTGTAATTTAGAGAAGCCATCATTATAACATATAATTTACTTCTCAACACTTTTTAACATATTAGGGTAAAAACCTGCATTCAGCACAGGTGGTGGTGTGAGAGGATGTATTTACACCTATGCTCATATCCTGCCTCTGATGGATTCTGCATCACTGACTACTGGGCCTGCCTGCTTAGAATTGACTCTGATGAGAGGGTATTGCAGTGTTTTGCAGGAGTATAAATTGTTGTTAAAGTGGACTTCACAGGAATTTTTTTTTGAGAGACAAGATATAAAGTTCAGATTCTTCCACTCAACTACAACTGTAGGAATAAAAAGAATCTTAACTTCCTGCTCCAACAGGATCCAATTTAATAATGTCTCATGCATCTCATATGACAATTGCATCAAAGTAATAGCAGGAAGTTGTCTGGAGGTGCTGCTGACAACATGAATGTTACAATGCTACATCAGAGTTAGTAATAAAGAGCTGAAGGAATGATAATTCCATCCATCAATCACTGTTTTTAAGACCCACAAAGAGAACCAAAGAGGCTGCATATTTCACTTCTGTTTCACAAACTCTTAATTTGCTGTAAATGAACTTTTGGGAAAACTTAATCTTATGCCAAGGCACAGATCCTATTATCTGATGCTAATTTAGAGCTATGGAAGAAAAATGAGAAAAAGACATATGAGTGAACAAATTCAAGAGGCAGAAAGAACACTAACCTTATACTGAATGTAGCTTTTCAGTTGACTTTTGCTTCTGTGCATTTTTGGTGGAATGCACCCAAGATGTCAGAAATATGTTTTCCCAACTGGAAAAACCATCTGAAGGGCCCTCGCAGATATGATCAGTCAATATTAGCACTGATGGCATCAGACATTACTATTTCAGTTGTCTACTTCAGTTCTTTGCCTTTTATGAGGACGTCTGAAACTCAAACTTTTGCCAAGCATTCCTAGGGATTACTCCTAAAGGGAATGTTCCATCTGACAGAAGCCTGCAGAGAAACCCCCTCTAGAAAATGGTTTATCTATGGAGAGGGATAGACTAGAATATT